GCAAGCCCCCCTCTTCTCCCCCCGTACGTCACAGGAACTGCTGCTCGGGTTCTTGTCGTAGGTAACAATATTCTGCGCCTTATCGGCCACCCTCTATAGCATTCTTTCGAATTCCCTTTCTTTTTTTGTTACACATAAAAAGATAATTATTGCTCAAGAAACCGAAGGAGAGAGAATTGATAATTTTTTTTTATTAAGTTTTGGTTAGATTCAAGTACTACTTATTGCTTAGATAGTAGATACAAGATTACTGCTTAGACGCTGTAACATCAACATTATCGCAATTATATCATATGACGACTACATAGAAAATCGATCTCACGCCTCCTCTTCCAATAAGTAAGATTGTCTAGTAGTTTCCGCCACTGTTCTTACGCCTTAACTCACTCATTGTTAACAAATATATATAGTTATTAATGATAATGATGTGATAATAGCGGAGCAGGCCTATTTGAATGGCTACGCTCTCATTTACGGCGCTATGTGACAGTAAACCACAAAGCAACGACTTGCAGAAACATCAGTCGGTAACTTTACAACAACTCTTATATGGACTCGCGAAAGTGGCGAGAACCGGGACACAAAAAAACAACCGGGAGCGTTTTTTTGGTAACGTTAATCACCGAACACCTAACGAGTAAGCGGAATAAAACTAGATAACGGAGAGCAATCACAGACAACACCAATGCTCAACAGTACGGCTTACTAGGGAAATAGTCGAGGAATTAATTTTGTCAACTTAGAACACTACTGTCGCTGATTATGTTGCCTCTACTATGTAATCCTGACTCCTGCTGTAACAGACGCCTTGAAATACGAGCATTTTTTTCTTGCTTTTCCCTAGTCTGATCTAATTTTGAACGTGAATTCTAAATGGGTTATTTGGGGTTTCTAGTCAATGCAAAGGCTATCTATCGACAGAAATTCCAACTTTGAAATCCAGTCATCGAAAATAATGAGTGAGCAAAGTAGCTTAACTGGCTATGAATGATGCCTTCGGTTTCGATGAACGAGCTTTTGCAAATAATAATCAGATTTGAATTCTTATTAGTGCATGTCAAATATCAGGATATTTCAAAGAAAGAAGGATTTCATTAGTTGATTAAGTTAAACACAAATCAAGACATTTGGAAAGTGAGCTTGCAGCTTTACAGCGCATGTCGCGGCCGTCAATTTGTCGTCTGTTTGATTCAGTATAGCCAGATCAGAATTGTTGACGTACTCTTGTAAACGATTGCGCCAATTACATGAAGGAAACAATGACTGAACTGAAACCAATGCTCTGCTATATGGTCTTATTAATTTAATATTCTAGGTTTACTAAGATCATATAGCATTGTTTCAGGTTCAATCATTAGTTCCTTGTTTTGTCGGTGAACCTCGTTCGTCGCTGCAATCATTCCAATGATATTATCTAGGCATCGGCAGGTTCATCTTATAAACTTGTTCAAATTATCATTCTGCTCGTATCAGATTCGATGTCTACTAACGATATAATTCTGTTTATTCAGAGACAAGATAACTGTTTGCTGTTCTGGATTGAAAAAAGCTAAGTAAATTAAGTTCGTGTCCATTGGCAAATGATGTATAAGTACACAACGATTCTGAGTATGGTAACTAAATCTTTACGTGTAAAGTAAATGATATAATCGCAGTGATAAGGCTCTGTAGTTACTAGCAACATCTTCAGCGACAAGAAAAGGTATGATCACTCCACAGAATGATCGACATAATTGTATAATAACGGGTAAATCATGGCTAGATGATCATGTCGCCCCTTAATAGCCAACAGCAACCGGCTAACCTTATACGATTGAACAGAGCGTCGGTGCCTTCAGTCTGTCACTGCTAGACAAGAACGCGCTTGTCTGTCTAACGCGCGATGTTGTTCCACCTGGATACGCGATGTCAATATGATCTTTGTTAGTTTTAAGTACACTACGAATTACCCCCGCGGTGTCCAAAGACGCTTGATGAGTTATGGCCACAAAAAAATTCAATCGTATAGACAATTCAGCTATTCAATATAAACAATACACAAGTATGAAACATACATGTCCGCGTCATGCAGTCACGGCAGCACGCTGTAGGGAGAAACGATGACTGGAGAAGACCGGATATTATTTATAGCGAATATACCACCGCCACTGTCCACTAGTGATCGTTATAGATCTGTGTCCTCAAACGTGAGATCACTGTGGAATTCATCAATGCCCGCTGAACGTCGAGATTGATGTTTGCTCTTTTTATTCTTTAGCTAACCGCACTTATCGTGTCGTCCCATTTACTTGACACTGATATAAAGTTGAAAAGAAATTTGCATCGGCATCTTGAAGATAGCCGCTCTCTTCTTGTGAACTAAGAGTCATGCCGCATGGCAGACGTCTTGAGTTTTTGTGTAAAGTCGAGAAAAGAACATCTATATTTACTATCGTCTACATTTCTAGGGGCTCTACCGCTGGCGATTAGCGACCGCCTGAAGGAAAAGGGTATTATTCAGGACCGTCGAACGTCGGCCAAGAATGGAACGATCCGGGTCCGTCAACCACGCAGTTGAACGAGATGCCTTGATTCAGAGCTGCAGTTTTTCCTGATGTGCTGTAAAGTAGCTCTGACGCATTGGCACCGCGACCCGCGCAAGCATTAGGTATAACGCACGACCCGCTTCTCGAGGTTCTAGCTGTTGCACGGCAGTTTCCAGAACGTGTTGCGCTGCTGGTACGGAAGACGCGAGAGCTAGAGTGACAGGCGCGAGAAGGTTGCCGTCTTGAAAATCTGCCTTCGCTGGAAGAACCGAGCATGGGCTTTTCTCCGCAGCTTAGATACATACGATAAGTCGTTTAGGCTGATTGCGATTCCGGCAGCTCGTCCAACAGCACGGACTTAAATCCGTAGAGCAATTCGAACGACGTTTCATACGGCTTGGCACTCCTGACCCCTTCTAAGTTCGGCAGCGCCTTCTATAAACACCAGCCGGGTTTCAAGGTTAATTACAAAGATTTCATAGTCTCCCTTCGGGTTGGTAATCACTACGCTATATGGGGTCACGAAACGCGTTCGCTTAGAGGTAACGACTCAGAAGTCGCTAGCTGACCCTTTTAGATCACATCTGGATAGGAAAAACTACGCGTACACTGAGGCACAACATTTAGATTGATTATAATCAAAGCAATATAGCTTGTTTTAAGAACGGTTACCCGAGAACGACATTTGGCATTAAGCTGCCAACAACAAAAACTTCTACCTATACACCGCTGGCTACAATGGCCTGGTAGGCTTTACCACGCCGCCCCGATAAGTCACAGATATTCTGTGTGCAGAAAACTCAAATGTTACCGCCCTAGCAGCTTGTTGTTGTTGTTGTCCGATGACCCGCTTAACACCCTCGGCCCAAAGCCACGTATCGGCTTGCTCTAGAAATAGTCAGTACAAAACCGACCTCGGCTTTGGTAACTAACGCGTTCTGCACCAATCTCACACCCTTTAATTCAATAGCAATCTTAAACTCCGACAGAATATCCGACCTGATAAATCGGAGTAGTGGAAAACCTACCTGAGGACACCTGGTTCGCATCTACATACAGCTGACTTGAATATGGCCCCGTTTTCTACGTCGACGCGCTGTCATATCAAATCGAACTGAGGGGTCTGGCGGCTAAGCGCCTTCGGTGTAAAACGTCGCACGGCCTGGATTATGGTGCCACACAACCCGCTGTGAAAAAACTGGCAAAGAGGACCGACTTCACGATATTTTATATATATTTGACAGAAAGATCGCGTAATCGTAATCGACCAAGTAATCAGGAGACTTGCCCAATGCTGATGAAAGGTTCGCAGGTCCCTTCTTTCTCTTTCATCCGCTTAACGAATTTTTCCGGGGAATTGACTTCGTCTGGAACGTTCATTTATTTTTTGCTTAGAAACGTTTTGTTATCAATGTAGGACACAATCTCTGGATCAGACTATATCAAAGTGGGACAACAGAGATACTGTTTCACCCGCCGTGCAACCAGGTTTTTTAATCGACAGAAATGAAGGGCCTGCCGCAGGTCTTCAACGAAACGCCGGACTAGGTCGTCCATTAGGCATACAACGATGATTTGATTCGATCGCTGGCGACTAGCGACTCACCGACCAACTGGGTTAGGCATCACTGCATGCTGGCCCGAGATCGGAAGCACTTCGCTGTAAACGAGATATCTTCTGGACACCTTCACATATACATATATATATATATATATATATATATATATAGAAAGGAGTTTAAATATTAGCTTCTTACACCTATAATTATGATTGAATTTATTTGAACACGAAGGTGACTTTGGCAACAGCATTCGCTATAGCAGCAGCTCGTCGGGCTAAGTTTTTGCCAATCAATCGTTTGACTCTAAACTTAATTAACAATGTATATATATATATCGATAATTAATAGTTCGAAAAGCAGACCGATTTCATATGGTACTAGTATAGTTATCAATTAGTACTATTTTTTCTATTATTTTCTTCAAAATTCAATATTTAAAGTATTTTAACTACTAAATACACCCAAGGCGAATAGATGATGGATCCATATAATCCAATAATAGAGAAAAACGTTAGCTTCAACTGTTAAGTAATTATCAATCAAGGAAAAAAATCAAGTGTTCATTTGTATTGATAATTCTCAGTCACGGATACCTTCAAAGAAAGTAACACGGGTTCAAATATATAATAACGATGATATTTAGAATGATGATGAATAATCGAGCCTATGGACGTTTCAATTTGATGTCTATTTATCGTGCCTATTCGTGTCCTTCAATATGATATCTGTTTCATTTTTTTCCCTTAGACCAAGTGTTTCAATTAGCCGAGTCGTGCAAACTTTTTTGTTAAACATGAATTCTATTCGTTAACTTTATTCGTACACTACTACTGATCATTATAGTTATTTGTTATTATTTTCAATAGCATTGGCTTATGAGCAAAGCTATTCATTTTCTATGCCCTGAGCTCACCTCATTGTGACGACCGGTTATGCGATCTCCTGTAATACAAAAAGTTGGATAAAATTAGAAAAACAATGAATTAAAAGCGATTCTATAATATAGCCCGACATTGTATCTATGACAGTGTACCCTAAGGTACTATTTATGATTTATTGAGCGTACGCCTGGTTACGAAAAATGCGACCATTCAAGAAATAATGCATAGGTAGGTTATGAGCTGATTAAAAAACACTGTTTTTTCTACTGTGTTTTAGCAGATCTTCGACGTAATTATCTTAGAAGCTTAATACTAGGCGAAAGCCTGCGAAAAGGAAAATATACGGATTTATTGCCGTCTACTAAGTTTCATCACGAAGGCAAGACAAGAACGTTAGCGAACAATGTGGGTTACACGATGGGCAAGCTAAATTTGTAAAAAAAAGTACAGGTAATCTCAGATTTTGTGCTATTACTATTTTACGCAGTGCAGTAACTTCCAGAGGTTTTTTTGATCGTACATTATAAGGACCAGGGCAATACTTGTTTTCGTTTTTATAAATCTGAGTCCATAACTTTGTTATCGAGTCAGAAATTGAATGTACTGTTGAACATGACTGAAAGTGTGTTCGATATCTCCTGTAAGTTCATCTTCCTCGAAGGACTACAAATGGTTATAGATAAAGAGGTGGATCACGTACAGGTGGATATGCATCTGTGTCCTTCTAGTCGCGGTAACTTAGTGGGTAACGTATTTTCCCGCTAATGTTAGAGACGCGTTGTGGTATAGATTCAAAGCCGAACTTTGATACACTGCATTTTATTCTGGAAGCCAGCCGTCTAACAAAAACGCAAAACATAGAAGATACGCAGCTCTATACTTCCAGATAGATGCGGCAAAGTTCTATTTTCACAAGTTACCTGTTCAGCTTCGAAGAAAACTCAGCATCCAATTTGCTCCATTTTCATATTCGTAGCACGCACAAATTTATCATGATACAATAGATTCTTAAGTACCATATGTATACCATAATATATCAACGAACGCTCAGAAGTGCATCATCAGCGATATACTAATCTGCGTCACCAGCATGGAAGGAAAAGGCCGCTGGAACACTGCGGGAGCCATGTTCGTTAGAAGGGACTTCGGGATTTGAGGTTTGCTCAGGCTGGCCGGCGTAGCGACTATGGTCCGGCAGCTGTTGCTGACACCGCGGCAATAAACTGAAGAGCGTCGTGGTGGTAAGACTATTATTGCTATGATAACAGCTCAAGGAGGTTCGTAACATTTCTAGTGTGAAGGCGATACGACAAACCAACAAAATTGAAGCGTATATGCTACAGCGGCGGCGGCGGCGGTGGCATTCTATCAAAATATTAAGAGCATGCCGGCATCGGTAGTCGACGCTGGAGGAGGCAGGGGGAAGTCGCGAGAAGCGAACGATTCCTACTGTGGTGATGCAACCGCCAGCTGGCGGATCAGAGGGCAAATAAAGAACGAATTAGATATGGAAAATCACTCTTTTCTTTTCACGGATTGTTTTTGCCCGGAAATAGCATCGCATTAGCGAACCGTAAGCAGCAGATAAATGTGCGTTGCTTTTATGTAGTATTAGATTGCCCCGTCATTGTCGTCGTCACAAAAGCGAACGGACAACAGGTGGCAGCAATAATGATAATAAACGTAGCGGTATCACGGCGTGACAAATACTCTCACGTCACCAAATGACCAAAATGTCATAACAACGGCAACTGTTCCAATTGTTGCTGGCGTAGCCACGGTAGCGGGACGTGTGACGTGACCCCTGTTTCGTAACGGCTGTAATGCGATTATTATGAACGCAATCGTTTGCTGGCCGCTCGATGGTCGGTCTGTTTAGTCGTCTATTTGCCTGCGACTATGACTTCCGAGAGTCCCAGACGTCAAGAAGGAAAAGGAGAACATGGACCGGACGTTATTCGGCAACACCGACAACAGCCCACAATCGATGAGAAGCCAACGAAAAAGGACATATAATAATTTTGCATCATTTCGGCTGTCGGCGGACAAGTAACAGCGGCCGCTGCCGCCGTAACAACATTCGTTCGACGTCAAGCGTTTTGTTCACTGAAAGAAAAAAAAAAGCCCTTGACAGCGGTACAGCAGATGCACGGGATATTCAAAAAAAAATCTAGCAACACGACATGGGAAACAATCAGTGCACTGCCATACCGTTCAGTATATAAGGTAGCAAGGCCTAGCATGGGTGCAAGAGGACCAAAACACCGCTTCATCCACTAATTTTATTGCGCTTCTGAAGCAATCCTTAGCAAAGGCAACATTGACAATAACCCAAAGAAATCGCAAGAGAGCTTTCTTATTATTGTTCTATCATTACTATGCCGGATAGTGAACGTTGTCACCGTCAGGAACAACGCACGCGGCGTAGTGTCCAGCTTTCCAGGTATCGTTCATCCCACGTAAGACTATCCGGCGATACGACAGATGTGTTTTTAATCGTGGACTAATTCATTGTTCTGTATTACCATACGTTTGTTAGCGCATGGTGCGAATTTATGGCCATCTTGACAAGACGTGTCGGCAAGTTGCGAACTAAACCTAGCTTTATTACTACAGAGAAAGAAGCCTGTAAATAATATTTTTGATACAAGGTCATCTTTTGCTTATCTTATTTTTTTGTTATATCACTTCCGCCTCTTTTAGGGATTGAATCAAAATACTGCTGGATTTCTGTGACTGTCACGTGATAAAGCCGATCTGGCCTAGAATCTGTTGCCGCAGAATTCACACAGTGGCGCTATGTGACCATAGTGGATTAACAGACATTCGCAAAAAGTACTACTGATGGCACATCTTTACCTGTTACCCCTTTGAATCTGATAGAGTGTGAATAGTAGTCCTTCTCGTGTTGTGCTTCCGAAGAAGAATACCGTCGGAAGGACGTTGATCCTATCAAAGTTAGAAAATGGAGGGTAACCAAACTTAGCTTAGGGGTCATCTGAGCCAAAACAACAAACGAACATCAAAACAGGTATGGCCGATTGCAGATGCGTTGTGACCATTGTTAGCTGTGACGGAAGTCTCGGTGCCCTATCAGTTTGTCTGTTAATCCTCGAGCCACTGAATTCATCTAAAATCGGTGCCGGCTGGCGACTATACGCATACATATGGCAGACGACAGCAGTTCACATTAGATGAGCCGTTTACGTCGCTGGCTAGAAATAGGCAGCTTCCAAAGTAGCCTAACTGATCTGATTGTTCCGCAAGCCGCTGCGTCGTGTCCCATGCCACCGGCATTAAAATGTTCCCACACCACCTATACAACCTTGCATGTTGCATAGTACCATCGGTATATGCGGATGTCGGAACGTGCTAAGTCAGTGATTCGGTGCAGGCCATACAGGCTGAATAGGCATGACGATACCATGCATCTGAAAGACGAGCGATTGGGGGAAAGGAGAAAACGACGGGGGCGGGAGGGCGGAGCTATGATGACCTGCTTAACATTGCCAAATAGAACAGACAAATGTACGCTAAGGATATACACGCACAAGCGGCCTATTAGCTATCTTGAAAATGATCACCAGCAAATGAACGGAACAATCGCTAGGGCTTATAGCTATTATGAACGTTTGATGTCTATTGATATACAGAAAATCATAGCTCGTCTACATGTCCTTCCTTGCGCGGATATTTTTACGCTGTACGAAAACGAATGCACACGTCTGCACGCGGCACACATAAACAAACGTTTTATAGTAATCTCCAAATAATCAACTTTATAAGGAATTGAAGTCTTGAAGATGTTCTTCGACGGTATGGTCGAGGTAAAGTAGTAGTCATGCCGCTTTTACGGTTTTCAATAACCTAAACGTTTATGGCGCAATCTTGTAATAGACGAATATTATCTCTCATCCAACGTCGTTGCATTCGCAAATTAGCGAAAGTGTGTCGTCATTACAAAACTGTTTGTGCTAATGTTATTAAATTGTTAATAAATTTTCGGAAAATGTCGAAATATCCGAAATTTCCTTTAGTCATCTGAATGCCGCTAACCGAGTGTTGCCTCCAACGAAAACAGAACTGTAGCCTGAATGCATTTTTGTGTTATAGAATATTTCTATAACATGTTCTAAACATGCGGTTTGTCCTCTTCATTCTACATATGAGCTGATTGTTCCTTAATGCTACACGATTATTGTGATTGTTACTACTGATATAAAAAGAGATACTTTGCCCGTAGCACACAACAGCTATGATATACTTGGCTGGTCTTCTACACCGTAGATAGTGGGATTTTATCGGAATTCGATGATTTTAATAGTAGTCGTTTATTTTGATATTCGTTGTTCTACTTATTCATCCTTATTATATTGTTATCTTTTTAATAATGTTATTATAATAAATTTTTTCATATAATCATCTGACGCGATACCTATCCATAAACCAACGTGCCCCGGATAGAGTGACGTAAATATTGCGATATGTTCACCGTTGACTTTTACCATACTATAGAACAAAACGATTCCATTGGTCTTTTTTTACTCCGTTTTTGTTGTTAGTCTATGTAAATAGACGTAGGTGAGCCTGTGCGAGTATTATAAAAGCGCCTTCAAAAAGGCTCCGGTAACAATTAGTTTCGGCCGGCACGTTGCCTTCATTGTTGACGTTCGCCTCGGATAATGTGAACTTTTACTACGCATTATCGGCGCTTAATTCAACTCTTATCCAAATAAGTGATAGATAAACAGTCTCGTTTTGCCCTGGGGAATAGAAGGCGGATCTTGTTGCTAGACCTTCTATTGTCGAGACCTGTAATGTAGTACCGCAGATCCCGTCAAGGTAGAACATGTGGCTTTGATGGAGTCCTTAAAGAGATTAAATACATACTTAGATTAAAATCCTGCAGGATGTTCATTTAGATTGAAGTCTCTAGAAAATCATCTTAGACGACGAATAGCTTGAGCCTTCCTTAGTGATGCATACGTTGCACCCTGAATGCTTTCGAGTTATACACTATCTGATTTATTTGAAAATACCATTTTGAACGTTCTTTTTGTT